CCGCGTAGTCCATATGATTACGAAAATATGACTCGACAAAATTAATTACAAAGTTAAATTTGTTGTCTAGTCGACTACAGCAGTGTATTGCAGAAAACGGACGTCATCTGAATGACATTGAGCGAAAATTGTCATACATTTTATGACAGCGCGCCTGCTCGTGTGATTAAACTGCAAAGCAGATCAAAACACATCTTTTTGCAATGAACGGTGATTTCGGGCTTTAAAAATTGTAAAGTGTGCTTAAAATATCAAAAGTAAGTGTGTTCACACGGGATGATCCCTTAAGACAGAGAAACATGTTCTTATTGAATAATGAAATCACATCGTTATAAAATAAACCAGTACATAAGCAAAAATCCATCAACACGGGGTGGGACTTACTGTACGTCACTACAAGTCCTGCATGGAATAATAAAAGTGTGTGTAGAAAATCGATTTATTCAAAAAAGGACCGAAAATGTAAAAAAAGAAAATCTAAATCGTGTATTTTTTGGTGCGATATTAATATTAAAAAAACTCTTACCTTCTCCGTTTCTATATTCTAACGCATCGCAATCGCTCGGTTGCTTCTTATTGCATTCGTCGTTCGATCTCGATTTCAAAAAGACAACGGCCAAAACTATAATCACCCCCAAAACGACCACGACTGCGACGATTCCACCCGCGACTATTTGCAAACGATAACTTTCGTCGTCACCTACGTAAGCTAAAACGCAATCGATTAAATTTAATTCGAAACAAAATTAAATTCAAAAACCAACAAATAATATTAAAAAAATAAAAAAAAAATACATACACAACTCTTTTTTACCTGTCTTGAAAACTTGACCGGTCGTCTTAAAAATCGGATGGGAATACGCGCCCCATCCCCGTTTAGTTTTCGCCCTCACATCCAACCCATAATCGGTTCGTTGCATTAATCCGGTGAATGTAGCGCTTAATTCCGTGGTTAAAATCGTCGTTGAATTACTAAAATCTATATCGCCTCGCGGGTAACATCTAACTTCGTACGTTTCGATTTCGTTGTCTCCGTCAGTTCCACCCCCGTCATTTAATGTAGGGGCTTCCCACGTTAAAGTAATCTCGCTACTTTTCACCGAGGTCACTCGTACCTTGGTTATACTACTTACAACGCTCGCTTCCGTCGTAACCGTAATATCAGCGAATTCCGGCTGTTTTTTCGTCATGTGCGAAACTCCGTTTTCCGCGAAAACTTGAAATCGATACGTTGTGACGGCGTTTAAACCTTGGACGGTTACTTTTGTGTCGTTAAAAATTTCCTAAAAATTTAATTAAGTGATTTAGGTCGAATCAAATAAAATTAATTTACCATATTCGGTGTGTATTGAACGATTCCGGCTGCGCACGCGTCGCATTTCACCCTATACACGATGTCGTTTCTCCCACCTAAATTTTCCGGGGGATTCCAACTCAACATCACCGTCGATTGATCAACGAAGTTTAAGGTTAAGTTTTGGGGGGAAGACGGAGGTTCTAAATTTATTAATTGAAAAGAAAATTTTTAATTACACCAAGTATGCAACCAAATACGCAAATCGCGTATTGAAGTACGTATATTGTAATGTTGGTTGCATAATTGCAATGATTTTAATACTTACGTGTACACGACATATTTTTTAAATCAATGGGTGCGCGGAAAAATTCCGAATCGCAAGTACACTCCGAATACCCAGAACTGGGGGCTTTCGAATGTTTCGGACACGGTTGACACATCGAATCGCCGACTTCCGCTTTGAATTTTCCCGGTGGGCACACGTTGCACGTGTACTTCTCCACATCCGGTTCGAATCCCGATTTGCATTTACACCCGCCCGCTGGTAAAGTCCACTTTCCATCTCCTTTGCATAGATACGTCGGGGTTTCGACGATTTCCGCGTTTTCCACGCATTTCCCCGTTGCCTGTTCGATAACGGTCACTTCTTTTCCGGTTGGCGTAGCCGGGAAATGCGCGAAGTTGATGGTAACTTGAGGACATGTTATGTAGTATACTTTGATCGCGAGCAAAGATATGCAAGCGCCTTGATCGCGAAATGCGAAATAAACGCCTTTTTTTGTAACCGGAATACTTTTTACTTCGACGTTTATGTTTACTTCGCTGTTGGTGTTGAAACGACCATCTCCTGCTGCTATTCTTCCTGTAATTTAAAAAAAAAAACGTAATTAAAATGCAACGAAATATTAGCCACATAGAGTGTATAGTAGATTAGCTTAGTGATCAATAGATATTAACTCCGAAGATTTACAAGATTGAGTGTTACAAGAAGTAGACAGAAGACGACAAATTTATCAAGATAAACCTGACGGTTAAAGCAATTCTTGACTTATTCAAAGTCTAAAAATACTATGTTAACAAGACTATATTAAGAAATAGTTAGTCAAAATAATGAAGGAGCTCAAAGTGATGTTGAGATTAGTGGCTGATGTTGAGAAGGTGCCGAATCTGTGTATGGTCTATTGGGTTTTATGGTCTACATGGTATTTCTGAGTCACGTAAATGTTATAGGGATAAAAATGGATATAGGGATTTTAGGGATAGAGGATGTTACTTAAAATTTGCTGCGTGGTGCTTCTCAAAATTGATGCTTTGACTTATTCGAAGTCCCCTTGCGTGAGTTCTAATGGTATCGGTCTCAACCTTCTTCTTCCTATCCTGGATGAGCAGTCTTTATTTCCCTCTGTCTGGAAGGTTGCTCATGTCGTTCCCATACCCAAATCCTCTTCATGTAACACTGATTTCCGTCCGATTTCAATTTTATCCGTACTATCAAAAGCTCTTGAACGCTTAGTTTATTTACAAGTCCAAGGATTTCTAGAGAGCTTTAATTTACACAATGAGTTGCAATCGGGTTTTCGCAGTGGGCATAGTACAACTACTGCCCTCATTAAAGTTACTGATGATATTAGGTATGCCTGCGACAACAGATGTGTTACTGTGCTCGATTTCAGCAAGGCGTTCTTTTAGTGTCTCCTTCTGCCTACGGATTCACTCCCCCCTGTGTTTCTTGGTTTCAATCCTACTTTTCCCATCGCTCCTTGTGCGTACGCGCTAACTCTTCAATTTCTTCTGCTTGTGCAATCAAATGTGGTGTTCCTCAGGGCAGTGTATTGGGTCCGTTACTTTTTTCTTTGTTCGTTAATAGTGTTACTAATTATATCTCGTGTAATTATCATTTGTATGCTGACGATCTCCAGATATATACTACTACAATTGTTGCTGAATTTCCGGCAGCTATTGTGCGACTTAATAACGACGTCTTGAACTGGTCTCGGAGATACGGACTTAAGTTGAACTCAGTTAGCTATTGTGTTTGGAACTCGTCAATTACTTGGTAAGATTAATCCATCTACCTGCAGTGATCTGATGCTGGATGGTAATGTCATACGGTTTTCTAACACAGTTAAAAATCTTGGAGTCCTTATGGATTCTGCACTGCCTTGGAAAGCGCAAATTCAACATGTTTGCAGAAAAGTCTATGCTTGCTTCCACTCTTTAAAAAGACTTCGCTGCTCTCTTCCTCCTGTGGTGCGTCGTAGTCTTTGTTACTCATTTATATTTCCTCACTTCGACTATGCGCACGCGGTTTATCCCGATCTCTCGGTGACTCTTCTGAGTAAATTGCAGCCCTTCAACTGGCTGTTTCTTGATTCTTTGTTCTTTGTCTTTCTCTTTTTTCCTTTCTTCAACTGCTCTCACTTGTTGGCAACTGATATCCGGCAGATTCTATTGGTCTCTCTCTCTTTTCGTGTCTTTTCTTTATTTTTCTATTTGTTTTTCTTTTTCTTGCTTAATCTTATTTGGTGATGTTAATAATATCTAATTATCACTACTTGCTATATTCAGTAAATATTTTTATTTTTGTTTGTTCTGTTGGGTCATTTGGCAGAGATCGCTTGTGCGATAAAATGATCCATTTGCTGATACTACTGTTTAAGTTAAGTGTATCTTATGTAATTTTGTATTTTTATCTGTGGCAATAAATGGTAAATAATAAACTAATAAATAATAATAAAATTTGAAGTTGTCAATTTCCAAAATTAATAATCGGAATAATCGCAGATGACAGCTGTCAAATCTCTTAATGGAACATGATTTATTTAGTAATAACCTTGAGGGATGTTCAAGACGACATTGTTTTGAAAAATGTGGAGGGTTGCCAGAGGCGATATTGATGAATATCTGGGATGATTAATATCATGGATGATATTGGAAGATGATTTGATTATATATAATATGGATTGAGCTAACTGCATATAGCTACTAACAGAAATGTGGCTCAAAGTGTAACAAAGATAGATATATTATATGTCAGTACGCTTCTATATCTATCTCGATTCGATCACCCTGCGTAAGCTATCTTTCTCGTTGGCTCAATCCATATTATATATAATCAAAGATTAGGAACGATGTAGAACGATATCCAGAATAATATTAAAAGTTACTACTTGGATAAGACTGTGTTGATGACGCATATTTTTCTAAGAATATCCGGGACTATATTGTAAACTGCCACCAAGATAGGCAACCAACATTCCACCTTACTCCCACCACCGTCGGTTCGCTGATTGGTGGAGGGGAGCTGTGACGTCAGAAGTAGCCCATTTAATTAGAATAAGAATTAAAACTATATGCCCAGAGATTAATACTTCATCATATTAGAAGACAATGTAAAACTGAATACAAAATTTATCAAACTGCGACGGTTAACGTGGGTGGGACAAATGGGGAGAAGTATGGAAAAAAAACATTTGGGGAAACCACTGAATCGATGGGAAGATGAAATAACAAGAGGGAGATCGAAAAGTCACGCACATCAAAATAAATATATCTGCAAATAGTAATTTCCTTGAATTATTTCAATTGGCTTTGATGTGATAGCATCACATGTGTTACTGACAACAACCCTAGATACTATCGATTTGGAATCTTGTCACTGGACGTTTGTAAATTTTGCAGAGTTCACTGAAAGAACTGATTTTGCAGTTCAAACGAAAAATCGCACAGAAATTCACATATCCACTAAGGTGTTCTTCAATTCCTATACACTGCGAATATGATATGCACGAAATTTGAATTTTTTCATCGATTTCTGAACACTTCCTTATCAAATCTGAGTGTGCTTTTTGACGACGAATGTAGCATCACATTTCGAATTTTATTCAGTTTCTCGTCGGTCAGAATGGCTGCTCTCCCGGTTTTCTTCTTGTTAGCAACTGATCCACATTCACGGAAATAATTCATTGACAGTACTATTAAACATAAATTTATTTTGCTGTGTGCGACTTTTCGATCTCTCTGTATAATCAGATGTGGAGGCGAAAAATAAATGAATCTAATGTCCAGATTGGATTGTAGCGGCATATAAAGAAAAAAGGAGGAGAAGGGACGAAGTAACACCGATACAACGTCCTATAAACCTTGAATACTTGTCAAATGCAAAAACTAAAAAATGTTCAAAAGTATCAGATTCTGTAGTTCTTGTATTGATGTAGCGCCTCGGCCGCAAGCGACCTCGGCTAAAGTAAATTACGCGTCATATCTACTTATTCCATCATGATACCAAGTTTAATTAATCTGAGGCCGCTTGCGGCCGAGGCATATGTTCAATTTAATATTGATATGAAACTTGAAAACTTTTCAAGGATGGCAGTTCAATAAAGCCGAGGTCGCTTGATCAATACAAAACTAACAAGTTTTCAAAGACATCGGGTTACATGATTTTTGTATTGACCTCGGCTAAAGTAAATTACGCATCATATCTTCTTATTGCATCACGATACCAAGTTTAATTTAGCCGAGGTCGCTTGCGGCCGAGGCATAAGTTCAATACAGTATTAATATAAAGCTTGAATACTTTTCAAGGATGGCATTTCAATAAAGCCGAGGTTGCTTGCGGCCGAGGCGCTTGATCAATACAAAACTAACCAGTTTTCAAAGACATCGGGATACATGATTTTTGTATTGACGTAGTGCCTCGGCCGCAAGCGACCTCGGCTTAAGTAAACTACGCATCATATTTTCTTATCGTATCACGATACCAAGTCTAATTTAGCCGAGGTCGCTTGCGGCCGAGGCATAAGTTCAATACAGTAATGATATAAAGCTTGAATAGTTTTCAAGGATGGCAGTGTAATAAAGCCGAGGTCGCTTACGGCCGAGGCGCTTGATCAATACAAAACTAACCAGTTTTCAAAGACATCGGGTTACATGATTTTTGTATTGACGTAGTGCCTCGGCCGCAAGTGACCTCGGCTTAAGTAAACTACGCATCATATTTTCTTATCGCATCACGATACCAAGTCTAATTTAGCCGAGGTCGCTTGCGACCGAGGCATAACCTCAATACAGTATTGATATAAAACTTGAATACTTTTGAGGATGGCAGTTTAAGAAAGCCGAGGTCGTTTACGGCCGAGGCGTTTGATCAATACAAAACTAACCAGTTTTCAAAGACATCAGGTTATATGATTTTTGTATTAACATAGTGCCTCGGCCGCGAGCGACCTCGGTTTAAGTAAACCACGCATCATGTCTTCTTATCGCATCACGATACCAAGTCTAATTTTGCCGAGGTCGCTTACGGCCGAGGCATAAGTTCAATACAGTATTGATATAAAGCTTGAATACTTTTCAAGGATGGCAGTTTAATAAAGCCTAGATCGCTTGCGGCCGAGGCGCTTGATCTATACAAAACTAACCAGTTTTCAAAGATATCGGGTTACATGATTTTTGTATTGAAGTAGTGCCTCGGTCGCAAGCGACCTCGGCTGAAGTAAACTACGCATCATATCTTCTTATCGCATCACGATACCATGTTTAATTGACCCGAGGTTGCTGGCGGCTGAGGCACTTCATCAATACAAAAACTAAGTCGTTTTCAAAGACATTAAGAGTTGTATAATTTTTGTATTAATGTAGCGTCTCGGCCGCAAGCGATCTCGGCTTAAGTAAACCATGCATCATATCTACTTATTCCATCATAATACCAAGCCTAATTAAGCCGAGGTCGCTTGCAGCCGAGGCATAAGTTCAATACAGTATTGATATAAAACTTGAATATTTTTCAAGGATGACAGTTTAATAAAACCGAGTTCGTTTGCTGGAGAGGCACTTGATTTAACCAAAAACTAACAAGTT